TACAAAACTCTTTGATATGACTTTTGCTCCTTTTCCGTGAAACACAACAGATTTTGGCTCCATTTCTGCAGTCTGATCCCCCTGGCCCGAACCTTACTTATAAGTGGAGTCATGCAGATGTCTCTGGGGCTCTGTGCAGGAGTAGAGGCTCACGTTACTCAGATTGCCAGATCTAGTACTCGCTAGTTATACCTTGATTTAAAAAATCAGATCTAGTACTCGCTAGTTATACCTTGATTAAAAAAAAAAAGGGAGAGAGAAAAACTTTGTCTAGCTAACTAACAATGCATACATCTTTCACAGTATTGCTTGTAGCCAGGGATCCTGGTTTTCTTTGATTAAAAAAAAAAATCTTCAATTTTTGGGTTAAAAAAAGTAACCCAAAATTCACATTGTTTCGTCATCAGAATGAAACACCGCTATACACACATCTGTGTATCAGAGGCGTTTCATTTTAATCACAGAAAAAATGTGGATTTTGGGTAGGCATGGTTCTTTAGATGTGATATCTTTTATTAGAGCAACTGAGTAGTTGGAAAAAAGTTCTTAGCAAGCTTTTGGGGGTTACTTTTTTAACCTGAAAATTGGGGATTTTTTTTTTATCAGAGAAAATCAGTACCCCTGCTTATAGTACTAGTATTACTAGCACTAGCATTATTGTATAGCACTAGCTATGCAGTATTTTATTGGTATTTTATTTTTTAATAAAAGGCCTTTTGCATTGGAGCCAACTTGAAGATAACATGCACTTTTCTTCATCCACTTTTCTGTAGCTAATTTTATTAAAATAAAAATACTTTCCTCAGTAGCCCCCGTTCTCCTTCTGCTTGCGCCTACAGTGAAGCCACTCGTGTTGGATATTAGTGGGATGCCATGATGAGAACTGGGATAACAGCAATTCACTCTCAGAAGTTTATATGCAACCCAGCTGGATAAAAGGCAGGCAGTGACAGGCTAAAAATAGGTCCTTGTTTAAACATCAGCTTCCTGATATATTTGCATACAAAATAAGACATTTATGAGAAACACATAACATGCGAGTAAAGCTGTAGGTCAGATCTGGTACTAGAAAATTTTGCCAGTACAGCCACACCTTCCCGTATGGTTCAGAGAGAGGGAGCGAGCTGTGTTAGTCTGGAGATGGGCAGAAGGCAGAGCCTGCTTTGTCGGGTGCTAATGAAGAAGTAGGTTGATGCCTACGAAAGCTTACGCTTCGCTGAACCAGTCGGTCTCTATAGGGCCACTCTGCTCCACCTTCTGTCTGTACAGTCCGTATATGTTACGGCAGGTCAGGAGCTTGCTCGTTCCTGTTGCCTGACATTTTGATCCAGTAAGTATGCACGTGTGGTGGGGAGCAAGGTGGCCCTTTCTGGGGATAAGCTGTGTGCCTGGGCATGGTTTGGTTGTGAAAAAATTAAGCCAATGCCTCCTGATTTTTACATTACAGCTTGACATGGAAAATAAATGTATAGATTCTGTAAGCAATTCCTTTATGTTGCTTTCTGGCTTGCCACAACCCATACTGATTACCTATAAAAATTGTCAGGGAACGTGATGGTGAGTGGTACAGTTTAAGGCAGGGGCAGACAATTATTTTGGGCGGAAGGCTGCTTATTGAGTTTTGGCAAGCCATCAAGGGCTATATGACAGGCAGCCAGGGGCAGATAAATATTAATTTTCTAAATTTTTTACGGGCCCTGCGGGTCGGATACAATGGCCTGGTGAGCCACATCTGGCCCACGGGCTGCATTTTGCCCACCCCTGGTTTAAGGTCATCTGTTGTCTTCCCGTATTAAACTTTTTACCTTCTTAAATGTTGGTCTTTGTAAACATTTTATGAATTACTGCAGTGTCATAGTTATTAGGGGCTGGAAGGGACCAATGATTGGGTTCAGCCTCCCTGCACTTGGGCAGGAAAGACCGCTTAGTTCTTGTTAGCAGAAAAAATTAGTAAAATGCCTTTATTTTCTATGCGTTGACCGCAGGAAAGTATTTTCAGTATTGTTTACAAGTTCTCATTCTGCTTACGTGGAACATTTTTCTATAGCTTGTGAATTTTATTTTTTTGTGCTTTAAAAACTGCATACGACTTAAAGTGCCTCTTACTTTTTTGCAGCTGTGTAGAAGGCAATGTTTCTGGTTGTAGCATAGGGAAAATTAAACACACCTTTTTTACACCCATCCACAGAAGCTGAAAACTCAGGCTTGCAAAAGTTCTCCAAGTGTGTTTCTTCAGCTGAAAAAATTAACTTTCTCTTTAAAAAAGATAACAAAAAGTGAAAAGAAAGTAACTCGCCTGTGGAGCTGGTCTATCAGTCTTGTTTTTTCTGGAAAAACCTAGAGAGGAAGTTTGGTAAAACTTCATTTCTCTGGAATGTCATGGAATGGGTGGATCTTTTTCAACTAATTCTTAAAGACCTGAGACATGATTTGCAGTGGGAAAGGTGCACCCAAAGCTCCCAGGGAAATCCGTGGAGGTGTGGGCACAGTCCCCACTTTGGAAAAAGTCCTTTAGGCTCCATACTCCTGTACTAGATATTTACTTCTCTATTAACTAGTAGTGCCTTGAATTCTCCCAATACTCCCGTAGTCTCCCTTTGTTAATATTGCCTCATTTAATTCACTGCCAAGCCTCCTGAGGAGTGATGGAGCTTGCCTTTTTTCCTAATGGCAGACATCTCTTTGGGGCGGTACAGGTTTAGAATCTATTCAGAATACAAACCACAGCTAATAAAACAGCTTGGTTGGTTGTTTTGTAAGGAAAAAATTGTATTCTGCTTTTGGCAAGTGTTTTTCTTATTTTTGTTTCTTTCTGTCTTGTCTTCTAAACATAATGAAAGTGCTTTCAGATAGCGACAGTGCTTACCAGGATGGTTTGCACGGTATTTAGGAGAGTGGTTCATAACCTTTTTTAGGCTCAAGGCACCCTTCAGTAGGCTTGGGGCACTCCTTGGAAAGTGTCAGCTCTTAGTTTTCACTCAGTTTTTGGCTACGGTAAAATACTTCTGTTGCCAAGAACTCAGAGCCTTCAACAAGCCAGAATGTTTTTAACACTGTCTATTCCCATTTAAAATCTCTGGGTTTATTTGGGATTCAAGTTTGCACAAATAGCAGCACTAACCTTGTGTAGCACCCTGCAGCAGCACCCTTGAAAGGATCTCAAGACACCCGAGGGTGCCATGTTGAGAGTCACAGGTCTAGGACAGTGCAGCCTGCACTTTGACCGGGGTCTTTATGTTACTGCTGCTGCTCAAGCTATATAAAAATGAATATCAAAAGAAAATAAAAATGCCACTGCAGAAAGACTGGGGGGAAGAAGTATTGCCATCAGTATTAAAACACCTTGTATATACCCTCATCTGGAATATTGTGTCAAAAATGATATAGTCAAAGTAAAATATGTCTAGGTTGGGGGAGCAAAAATGATTAGTGGTCTAAATAGATTCCCTAGGGAGATAATGCTTAATGTAGAGAGGGGGCATAATAGATATGTAAAATAATGGCACAGTGAAGATAAATTAGCTGCCCCTTTTTATTATTAAACCCATAGACTCAAAGGACCAGAAGGGACCTGCAAGATCATCAAGTCTGGCCCCATTATTATTATTATTATTATTATTATTATTATTATTGTTGTTGTTGTTGTTGTTGTTGTTGTTGTTGTTGTTATGGCACTTAAGTATGTATACATTTATTATTTTTGCTTTCATGGCATTGAAGGAACATTAGGAGAAATTGAAAAGCAAGAAATTTAAGATAATTTTTTATACAAAACACTTTTAAGTTCAAGCTACCACTTTGCCTAAATGTTTATCACGATTCAAGAGACTTATTGATTGGAGAATGAGGATATTCAGTTACATTAAAAAAAAAATATTTTTACAAGTGGGGTAAACTCTCATACCGCGTGAGGGAAAGGATGACTGGTAAGGACTGTATAGACAGTTTTCCAAAAGGGCAAGCCTGTGATAATTATTCACGGTAGGGGATTTCTTTCACCTTTTAGGAAGTAGCTGGCAGCAGCCCCACTGTCCAGCCAGACTGGACTAGACTGATTACTGGTTTGATCTGGCAGACGGTCCTTACTCCGGAGTAGCTGCATCATGCAAAAGTGTTCTTAGGACCATAACCCTTCAGTCTGAAGTTCTCTGTTGAGACTCAGTCTGTAAACAGTGTTTGATGACTCACAGACGTTTAGGTAATTATCGAGCAGTTGGCAAAAACTTGTCTTGGTTTTCTCACAAGGGACATTAGTTTCCAGTGTCATCTATTTAGAGGTGGGAATCTTCTTTTAAAGATATAGCTGCCACATTAGGGAGAAACTGTGGAGCCAATTTCCAGATTGACGGCAGCACCTGGGATTGCCATAACATTTCCTTTTATGTGTGAGAATGCTGAAAGGGATTTTAAGGCCTCAGTAGACCTGTGTACCCTGTATATTTTTTTCAGTCTTCCCACACAGCTCCGAAGTTGATGAAGCACTGTATTACACTTAATTAAGTCTCCTCCATTGTCACAGAATGTAACAGGAGCTGTTTGACATTTTACCCATATTCTGTTTCCTTGACTGTCTCCTCTGAGGATTTTGTAAGAGAATATTTGTAGGATGATTATGAATTCCATTGTATAGGCTGGGGTGTGTTACGGAAACTGGATTCTCGGCATTTGAGAATGGAAAAAGGAAATACTTTGAAAGAATCCTTTTCAAATAGTTTTCTTCATTAACACAGTTTTATTGGTATTTTGAGGACAGGTATTTTAACTTACAGACAGAACTTGCCGTCTCTTGTGGTTTTGCTGCTGCAGTGAGATGGACATGGGGATGTGAGCCATGTTTTAGTCCAGTTATTACCATTTATAGTCAACGTATCTGACTCTTGCTTGGTAGAATAAAATCCTCTTGACTTTTTATGATTTTAATATTTAAAAACACTCATTAGTCTCCAGTCACACTTGTTTCTTTTCCTGCTGAGTGGCCTTTTGATTTTTTTCTTTTACAGTAGTGACTCCAGCAGCAGTTCAAGTGATGAGTCCCCAGCACGGTCGGTTCAGTCTACAGCAGTTCCAGCACCCACATCCCAGCTGCTTCCATCTCTGGAGAAAGATGAGCCCCGTAAAAGTTTTGGGATCAAGGTTCAAAATCTTCCAGTACGCTCAACAGGTAAAATCCGTGTGGGAAAGAGGTCTTCCTCAGAGTGTTGTAATCGAAAAAGAGAGATTAATGGAAGGAATTGAATAGCTCTGTAGTCTCCATTGTGTTTACCTAATATTTAAATAGATCTGTCCCTTTTGAAGTGTTTGCCAGTAATTTTTTATTGCATAGGGAAGTATGAGTGCAGGTTAATGAGCCGTCATTTACAAAACTTAGTCACAAGGTTACTGCTGTCATAATGTTGTAATGAAAGGGTCCGATTACATGTGAAGAGCATTTAGGTTTGAAGAGACTGCAGCACTACTACTGGACAAAAATTTCAGAAATTTAATAAACCTGTGAGTGCTTCTGGCCTTGCAACTGAGCAGCTTTCCTTTACAACAGTCACCGGGAGTCTCTCTTCTCCTTGCACCGTTGAAAATGAAGCCAAGGGCTAGACACATGACACAGCTACATTGGTGTGGAATATGGTGTAGAGTTACCCTGGGGGAAAAAAACAGTAGTAAAAACACACTGGTGTAACTGTGTATTCACTGGTATCTCAGATTAGCCATTGGCTCAGTGCAGACGAGCCCATTACATGCTCCTCTGCCATCTAGGGGTGCGGTGCTATCATAGCGCCTACCCAGTATAACCAGTGGTCTGTTAGCTCCATATCTCTAATTTAGACCGATGTATAAAACTGATGTAAATTATGTTGCTGTTAACATGTCATGTCCAGGCCCTCACATATTATTTATGTAGCTGGCAGCACAGCTTTTTGTTAAAGTTGCCCAATAACGTCTTTATAAACCCTTGCTTTCAATTGGCTTTAACTTTACCAACCTTAATGTTGGCTGTTGTGTTTAAGCCAGGTGTTTGTCTCTGCCTGAATTCTTGGAAAAGTTCAGCAAAAAATGGTTTAGCCATTTTCAAGAATATGATCAAGGAAAAATCAGTTTTCTCCATGTATAAAAAGATGTTTTCAGTCACTTTGCCTGAGAGCCTGTAACTTTTCCATATTTTGGATGAGAGCCTTGAAGTTTGGCAGGAACGTTGCCTTGTGTCAGGTCATATGCCTTTTGTCTTCTTTCCAAGGGAAAAAACTGCCAAGATTTGGCCAAATGATAAACCCTTGAAAAATCTTGGTTTGTGTGTGCTCAATAGGGCCTTGCTTGAGTTTGGCTGCAAAATTCTGTAGAGATTTCATATGTATTGAGTGTGTACCAGCCCAGGCCTATCTGGGCTGAACAGAACTGTCTGCAGTTGCTACTGAGCGATGCTGTGGCCCCAGCCCTGAGGACAGGGGTCTTCAGCGCTCTCAGTTCTGCTGCTGGCAGCAAGGAGGAGGAGGAGAAAGAAGCAAGCTGATTAGGAAGCAATGGGAGACAAGATCTAGATTTCACAAGTGACCAGTGCTTCTGGCTGTCTTGATTCAGGACTGTTCAACTGGAGACCGTTGGGTTCAGCACTCACACCTGCCATTGTAGTCACAGGGAATGCTGCTTTGGACATACAAAATACAAAGTGCTCTAAAATGTCAAGCCATAGCCATTTCAGTTTGGGCACTCAAAATAACTTCTCTCTGCCTCAATTTCTCATCTGTGAAATGAACATATATCCCTTCATTTTCCAAAGTGGATATGGAAATAAGTTTGGTAATGTTTGGATGTGGTAGCTGCAGTGATGAGTGCCATAAAAAGACTCACAAAGAAATAAATAATAATTCAGTGCAAGGTTTGAGTATTATTCAGAAATAAGTCAATGAGTTACACCTCGAAAGTGAAGGCGAAATGAAGTAGTTGCACCTTAGGTGATCACCATTCATCCTGTACTGAATGAAGCATAGAGTTCCTGTGGAAAAAGTAGTATGGGATCACATAGTAAAGTATTACTAGATAATGCATATATTAGATTTTCATATAATGCATATGCAAAGGGGAGGCGTGGGCAACTTTTGAGTCTGGCTGCACGGGCTACTTTTAACTTTTGATTCATTGACATTGCAACCTTACTGCTCTTTCAGTGTATTTACTTCTGTATCTTTCATTACTTTAATAGGGTTAGAAAATAATTATTGCATTTTACTGATGCTTATGTTGTGGTTTAGACACAAGCCTTAAGGATGGACTTTTCCACGAGTTCAAGAAATACGGGAAGGTGACATCCGTACAGATTCACGGGGCCTCTGAGGAGCGGTATGGACTGGTGTTCTTCCGCCAGCAGGAGGACCAGGAAAAAGCACTGAATGCATCAAAAGGAAAGCTGTTCTTTGGCATGCAGATCGAAGTGACAGCCTGGGTAGGACCAGGTGAGCACAAAAGATGACACTGATTTTCATACTTCCCTCTAAACACGTTACCATTTTAAGATTATAGGAACTCTCATAAGAGGCAGCAGATGAATAAAAGGAATGTTAAAATGACTCCACTTTGGTTTAAAAAAAAAAAGAAAGAAAAAAATCATAATGTAAAAGAGCTGGGAAATGTGCCAGAATAAATCCCAGAACAAGGACAGTGGATGCCACTGGTCTGCTGCTAGGCAGGTCAGACAGGAAAAGCATTCCAGGCACAAGCCCTCAGTGAAGGAAGCCTTCCATCATCTCCCATCCTGTTCCTTGTGGCCACCAGATTTCATTTTGTTGATGTGCTTTGCTCCAGCGAAATGGAACAGGGTCTAGATGTGGCACTGAATCCTGTCAGTGTTGTTGGAAGGGGGGACAGCCTTCTTCAGGCCCTGGGCTATGTGAAGTAAATGTGTTGGGAAAGCCTTAACTTTGGGCACTCAAGTTAAGCTTTTCTCAGTTTATCTTCGGTGAGCATAATGGAACCTATTGTACATAATTATCTGTTAAACAGACCAGTCAGAGAGTACATTTTCCATGCACCAAATCAGCACTCACATGAATACAATGAAGCCTATTGAATTAATTCCTGGCAATAGAATACCTTATTCTTGTTTAAAGGTATGTTTTCCAGAACAGCTGATGTGGAACGTACCTCCTTTTTCAGTGAGTGGCACCCAGAGGTCCAGATTCCTTGGCATTCATATAGTGGCCTGAGACAGATTTATAACTCCTGGTGGTGGTAGAGGTCTGCTAAATGTCCAGTGCCCTGGTGTGTCTTTGTTAAAGATACTGATTAAACCATTTCTGCTATTCCAAAAACAGGGTTTAGAAGAAACTGAAAACACCTCAGGATATTTTAAAGGTTTTCCCCATCTCTCCTGTCTTTAGAAACAGAAAGCGAGAATGAATTTCGCCCTTTGGATGAAAGGATAGATGAATTCCACCCCAAAGCAACACGAACTCTCTTCATTGGGAACCTGGAAAAAACCACAACCTATCATGACCTTCGCAACATATTTCAGCGCTTTGGTGGGATAGTGGTACGTTAATTATTTTTTGGCACACATACTACTTCTGACTTTGATCTCAGTGTAAAATGTGCATGGCAAAAAACTAAATGAGAGGGAGAGTGAAGTGTAATATTGATCACTCTGAGTCTGTGGATACAATTCATTTCGCCTTTTGAGTTCTGCCACAATCCAAGTAATTTGCCTTGCCCTGATACACCCAGAAACATTGCTTTGAGTTTCAAATGATGTTTTAGCATACCAGCATTGCAGGGAAGTAACTTGGGAATGGAAATAGGCCTCACTTTTGTGCAATTATGAGAAACTTAAGGATTTTTTGCAAGAGAGGAGAGTTGCAGAGAAGTCATTAGCATCCATCATGGATGTAAATGTGCTTAATTCTGTTTTCATGTGTAGTCATTGTTACTGTTGCGAAATCCAAGCTTCCTGTTGATTTTTGAAACAAAGACTTTGCTTGCTTGCTTGTGCAAGTAGCAGTCAGCTCTGGCAGCCTGTTCAGTAACAATGGGACAGAACAAGACAATAAGCAGAATGGTTAGTGATGACACGAAGAAGTCTGGCTTCTCAATTGAACAAGCTTATTCAGCTGAAATAGTTACAGAGGATTAATTCCCTTCTCTCCCCTTTATTTCACACTCCCTTTTGAATAATACCACCTTTAGGGTTTAAGAGAAGTTTTCCAGAAGAATAAAATAGCTTTGTACAATACTATACCTTCTACCATATCTGACTTTCTGCAGTGATAGCTTGCTTTGAGTACGCTGTTAGTCTAGTAATAATAGTAACCGTGGCTACTCGGCACTATTTTCACTCTGTTTAGACCTTTCAGTTGTTGGCATCTGAGGTATTATTGCCTTTCAGTTGAGAAGGGGTGCCACCTCTAGCTAAAAATGGTCATGACATCCTTGCCCATTCAGTGCCGGCAAAGATATGACTTCCATTTTATTGCAAAACTGTCTGGCAGCTCTGTATATCACAACACCTTTGTAACCGAAATCCGCACTAATTGGTGAGTTTGCACGCTGAATATGGCTCAAACCGTTTTCTCATCTTATGCCAGCTGAGCTGCGCTGATACCAATTTGTACCAGTACTTGATGATGAGAATAGTCCAGTGTGTTGCAAGCTGGTTTTATGTGAACTACTTCTGTGCTGTTAAAATAGCTAATAGGTCTGGATTGAAGCAGCAGCGCAGCATTCCCATGAAAGCGTTAACAGGTCAGGCACAAAACAGATTTTTATTTTGTTTCCTTTTTGAGAGGGTAATGGACAAAGTAATGATACTTCATTTGCCTGTCAAAAGAAATTGCTTGCCCACGGTGAGTTGGACAAGTACAGTTTGCCAAGGTTGCAGAAATGCTGCTTCAAACTTTTGAAAACGTAGCCGTTTATTAGTATGATGCTGAAGTCATTAGGTTTGGGCTGTCAGACTCCAATAGTTCTCTCCCTGCTGGCCTGTAGGTTTTTTTTTTGATAAAGAGCTCCAGGCTGAGCCCTGTATTAGACTAGTGCCTTCTCCCTAAATTTATTAACCATGAAATTAGTCTACTTTGAATATTTAAACATTTAGGCTCAAATTGGTGTGCTAGCATTGGCACATAGTTCTCAGAGGAAGCTTGTGCTATTTAAAAGAACAACAACCCTCTACCTTCTATTTTCAGCTTGGAATGAATCATAATATTGTGGGTTTGTTCAGAGACTTCCAGCATGTATGCCAGTACTAGTAGTAAGCCTGAGTGTTGACCACATGTCAACTCTGGACTTGCTGTTTTTTAAAATAGATTAAAACCAGGTTTTATTATACATTAATTGTTCTCCTCTTACTGCATTTGTGAGTCTTTGAACAAGCCTCAGGCCTCTTGGGGTCACATGTCAGGAGTTCCTAATCTTTTTTGCTTTGCCTCATCAGCACCAATTTGGGTCAAGAGAAGAGCCCAGCATCTCCCTCTATTTCTAGAAACAGGATGAATTGAGTTTATTTGGAAAAGTAAGCTTATTTGGCTCTTGACTCCCAAACAAGCTTTGATTTGGGGCCATTTATTTTCCCTTCCACCTTTATAGGTGAAAAAACTGTGTTTTATGGTGCTGAGCTGTCTTGGTTTATTTAACACAGTATTAAACAAAGCTATTGTTTATTGTGAATGGGTCAGGTTAGTTTTTCTGGGTGTTCGCCAACATCATTTTCCATTTTTAAATCTTCACTGTGAAGAGTTTTTGTTGAGTCCTTAGGGTCCAGTTTTACCATGGGAATGAAAAGCAGCAGACCAGTGCACCTTCTCACTGTCTGCTAATGTTTAAATCCCCCCTGCAATACAAATATTAGTTAAGCAGTGCTGGTTAAAAAAAAAATCCATTTAGATCTAGTTTATACAGCTGAATCTCTCTTGGTTGGCATATTGCTGAATGTGGCCTGCTTTTTTTCCAGGATATCGACATCAAGAAAGTAAATGGAGTTCCTCAATATGCATTCCTGCAGTACTGCGATATTGCAAGTGTGTGTAAAGCAATTAAGAAGATGGATGGAGAATACCTTGGAAATAACCGACTCAAGGTAAAGAAATTCTCCGGTCAGCTCATCCTATTCCGGGTCAGTTTTGTTTTGAGCGTTACGTATTTTTTGCAACTGTTTAGTCTGTGAAAGGGAAGATGATTGTTTGTACTTTTTTTGATATTTCTTTGTATTTTGTAGATCAGGTTAGGTAGTGATAACATTTTCAACAACAAGCAGAATTGGAATTAATTGGCAACTCTCTTTGCAGTCTCAGCAGAGAGGCCAAAGATTGAATGGACATGGAGACTGATTTATCCTCTTACCTTTTAAAGGTAGTTCCTCCAGGTCAGTGTTTGGTAGGACAGTGCTAAGAAGATTGTACTGCTCCGGCCAGTGCTGAACTGATTCTGAGGATAAATAGAGGATTTCTGTCCCAAAAGCTGTCAATCCAGCACCTTTCACAAGGCCTAAATTCACACAAAAGCAAATATTTTCAAACAGCTGTATTTGTTTAAGTCTGCGGGATTATTTTTATTAATTACTATTTGATTACGACTTGTGTGCACCTGCATGAGATGCTAATTTTAGAAAATCTGTACAAATGACTAGATTTCTTCAGATAACTCTAAATGAGGTGTGCTCAGTTAAAATTGGTTTTATACGCGTGAATAGCAAATACGTGTGAACTGATGGAAGTTTTGCCCTTTTGTGTCCAGCTGGGTTTTGGAAAGAGCATGCCTACAAACTGCGTGTGGTTAGATGGTCTTTCTACAAACGTTACGGATCAGTATTTAACCCGACATTTCTGCCGATACGGGCCTGTGGTAAAGGTAGGTGGGAGGCTTTGGTATGTGGTTTGAAGTTGTTACTGTCTTTCTTTCTTTACATCCTGTCCTTTCAACCCCAACTTTCTAGGGTTTCGTAGCTCAGACAGAGAAATTCTCTCTGGGTTGAAATTTGGCCTATAGGGGTCTATAGTTTTGCAGCCTGTTGATCCAACACATAGTGCAGTTACTTTCTGTGTTTGAAAACAAGTATTTTGAATGAGCCGAGATAACGAATAGATCCTGTCTGCTGCTGCTGTGCAGTACAGCCTCTTTCCCAACAAAATTTCTTTAGAATTCTCATGTTGTTTCATGTAGGAGAAACACACTCTAATTATGTGATTATATTTATGCATGCTAATTGCATAATTGGATATAATTATATTTTGGCAAATAGACCAAAAATGACTTTTAAAAATCCTGCAGGAAATTCACAACAGAAAAGGTACATCCAAAGAGTGTTACAGTTGTGCATCACACCCACGTCACACAACGGGACACTCAGCTACCAAGATCCATTTTGTGTAGGTATTAGAGATGAATGTTGCAATCTTGCAAATAATTATGCACATCCTTAACTCATCCTGATGCTGAGTGGTCACGTTGGTTTCAGTCAGATTATATGCGTGCTTAAAGTTAAGCGTGTGTGTAAATCTTTGCAGGGTCAGGGACCTACTTCCTTAACATGGTTATGGGTTTGTGTTGCAACTTTAACATTTTGAATGTATCCTTTGTTGCGTGAGTAATACATATACATTGCTATGCCAAGGTGTCTTTTGTAAATCGCATATTTAGCAACCAAAGAATGGCGCTGCAGTTTGTAACAAAAGTTTATTCCGTTTTGTGGTTAAATGTTCCTTTTACCCTTTTCCCCCCCTAAAATTTATTGGGAATTTTCAAAAACACAACTACAAGCAATAACAAAAATGACAGTATTCAGTCACCAAGAAAATACTAAAAGTAAAATACAGAAAAACAAAATAAAGGCAATAATATCCCTCAAGCCACAATATCCAGTCCCTTGTCCTTTTATTGTTTCTTTATTCCAATAAGCCTCATCAGAAAAGCCTGAAAATTTACTTTGATAAAAATTTTCTTGTATCCTCATGATTTAGGAATTTGTTGGGACTGACATTAAGTCCTGTGGATGAGGCTCTTATTTGGTTTTTGTTTTGTTTTTTTGTTTTTTACAGGTGGTGTTTGACCGCTTAAAAGGCATGGCCCTGGTTCTCTACAATGAAATTGAATATGCACAAGCAGCTGTAAAAGAGACCAAGGGGAGGAAAATCGGTGGGAATAAAATTAAGGTGTGCAGAAATGACCTCCAAAAGAGGAAAAAAAATGTTATTTAGGTCTTAGTCCTTAACTTGCTGGCATATGCAGACTGCCAGTCAGAGGAATACATAGTGGGACATACATGTCCCAGATCTCTGCAGGGTTCAACTAATTTTTTCAACTCGGCTTAGTAAGGTGTTAGGGCATTTTGCACTCTTGCTCAGAAAGCCTTCTCTAGTGTCCTCTCATTTGTTTCACCGCTCTTGCCACCCTAAGCTCCTGGACATTGGTGTCCCTGTTGTCAATACGTGTTTTTACCGTCCAGAAGTATTATAAAGGCACCACGCTAATCCAGGAATTTAGAGTGTCAGCCCAATTTCTGAGTTATCTTTCTCCTCCTCCTTCCTTCTCTCCTAAAGAGTGGGTCATCACTTCAAGCATGATGTTTCACCTGCTGAAGACATCTGAAACTTTGATGTTGTCGCGGTTAGGAGCTGAATATTTTTCAAAGGAGTTGAATGTAATAAGCAGCCTTTATGCAGAACACAAGGTTATGGTTATTTAAAGGTTTTGTATTTTGTGTTTGTGGGTCTTACAACTAAGTGACTTTGGAACATTCAGCACCCTTTTATTATCTGTGTGTGTGAGTTCCATTACAAATTTCTTTTAGAGCAAGTATTTCATGTAAAAATGTAAAAACTGTTGCCTTATGTGGAATGCGTTTAGACGAACCCAACTGGAACCTTAATTTCTGGCTTCAATTGTGTCTTTATTTTCTTAAGATTGTAGCAAGCCATTGGGAGGGAAATAGAAAGCGCTTAGTGGTTAGAACTTGGAGCTGGGAGTCAGAGTTCTTGGGTTCTTTGCTCATCTGTGCCATTGCCTGGCTGTGTAACCTAGAGTGGGGGGTGGTAGATTTTTTGAACTCTCATCTGTAGAACAGATTAATAGCATTGACCCACTTTTGACATTCTGAGATGAAAGCTGCTTTATGACGGTAAAGGGTGCTCATACATTTTGCAGTTTCTCGGAACAAGAGCTTCTCAGTTGCCGTTTCTTCCCTAGCTGGAATAACACATCCCAATCAGAATTGGTAAAGCTCTATCCAATTACGCTGTGCTTTGCAGCACATTTATAATGAGAGGAAGGCCTTTCATCTCGGCAGGATTAATTGCCAGTCCTGAAGATTGTTTTTTTTTTTTTTTTTT